ACCAGAACAAGCAAGAAGTGTAGAGTGTTGGCATACAAAGAATAAGTTATTAGATAGTCATACTATGTCTGTTGACACAACCATAAATGATCATGCAGATCGTCGAGTGTGGTTTGGACATCGGGGTTCAGAAATATAAACTTTTTTCCGTTTCATTTTGGATTTCAATCTGCTTATTCACTTTTGAATCGTCGACCTAACAGATTTAATCCAATTAGATTTTAGTGAATCAAATTTCGAGAAATCGCAATATGTGATCGTGTTAGAACTATGTTAGCATGCTATTTCAGTGAGGTAGCACTCTAAAAAAGTCGGCATCAGATCCGCGCTATCACAAGGAAGCAAATGCATCAACACACCTCTTCACCACACACGCATATCTTGCTGTACACACATGGAGCCATGCCACTGAATTCCAGAACACTGCAGCACAGCTAGTTACTCGTACTCGAAAGAGAGAGCACATCACACCTGCGCTTTATTCGTTGCACTGGCTACCTGAACGATACAGGTCGCAGTACAAAATTCTGGTATACACATACAAGGCACTGAATGGAACAGCTCCTCAGTACCTACAGGAACTTGTTACCCTGTATCAGCCGTCAAGATCACTGCGGTCGGAGTCTGAATCTTTGTTGTGTGTCCTAAAATCTCGTACTGTGACCTACGGAAACAGATGCTTTGGGAGGGTTTCGGCTACGTTGTGGAATAGCTTACCATCTGCTATAAGGAAGTCGAATACCCTGGCCAAGTTCAAGAGGGACATAAAAACTCACCTCTTCACGTCTGCATTTTAGAATCTTTGCAAAGACGTCATGTAAATACCACCCTTTTATTTGTTCAATTATGTGCACATTGCTTGTTAAATGTATGCAAGTGATTGCAAGCCTTTGTTGTTTGTTTTCACAATTATAACCATTACTATTATCCATATGTTGTAAAGCGCCTTAGAGTAATTTTACAAATTATATAGGGCGCTATATAAATGCTGTATATTATTATTATTATTATTATTATAGGACACTGAACGCTATAAACCAGACCAGCGAACTTTCTGTTTCGGGAATGTAAACTTGTTCTTTGATGAAAATCTAATATACAGGTAGTAAGGGACTGAACAAAACTAATGTAACATGAACCACTCGAATGTTAGGTAGTAAGGGGCTGAACAAAACTAATGTTACCTGAACCACTCGTATGTTAGGTAGTAAGGGGCTGAGCAAAACTAATGTAACATGAACCACTCGTATGTAAGGTAGTAAGGGGCTGAACAAAAGTAATGTAACATGAACCACTCGAATGTTAGGTAGTAAGGGGCTGAACAAAACTAATGTAACATGAATGACTCGTATGTTAATTAGTAAGGGACTGAACAAAACTAATGTAACATGAACCACTCGTATGTTAGGTAGTAAGGGACTGAACAAAACTAATGTAACATGAATGACTCGTATGTTAATTAGTAAGGGACTGAACAAAACTAATGTAACATGAACCACTCGTGTGTTAGGTAGTAAGGGACTGAACAAAACTAATGTAACATGAACCACTCGTATGTAAGGTAGTAAGGGGCTGAACAAAAGTAATGTAACATGAACCACTCGTATGTTAGGTAGTAAGGGACTGAACAAAACCAATGTAACATGAACCACTCGTATGTTAATTAGTAAGGGACTGAACAAAACTAATGTAACATGAACCACTCGTATGTTAGGTAGTAAGGGACTGAACAAAACTAATGTAACATGAACCACTCGTATGTTAGGTAGTAAGGGACTGAACAAAACTAATGTAACATGAACCACTCGTATGTTAGGTAGTAAGGGACTGAACAAAACTAATGTAACATGAACCACTCGTATGTTAGGTAGTAAGGGGCTGAACAAAACTAATGTAACATGAACGACTCGTATGTTAGGTAGTAAGGGACTGAACAAAACTAATGTAACATGAACCACTCTTATGTTAGGTAGTAAGGGGCTGAACAAAACTAATGTAACATGAACCACTCGTATGTTTGGTAGTAAGGGACTGAACAAAACTAATGTAACATGAACCACTCGTATGTTAGGTAGTAAGGGACTGAACAAAACTAATGTAACATGAACCACTCGTATGTTAGGTAGTAAGGGACTGAACAAAACTAATGTAACATGAACCACTCGTATGTTAGGTAGTAAGGGACTGAACAAAACTAATGTAACATGAACCACTCGTATGTTAGGTAGTAAGGGACTGAACAAAACTAATGTAACATGAACCACTCGTATGTTAGGTAGTAAGGGACTGAACAAAACTAATGTAACATGAACCACTCGTATGTTAGGTAGTAAGGGACTGAACAAAACTAATGTAACATGAACCACTCGTATGTTAGGTAGTAAGGGACTGAACAAAACTAATGTAACATGAACCACTCGTATGTTAGGTAGTAAGGGACTGAACAAAACTAATGTAACATGAACCACTCGTATGTTAGGTAGTAAGGGACTGAACAAAACTAATGTAACATGAACCACTCGTATGTTAGGTAGTAAGGGACTGAACAAAACTAATGTAACATGAACCACTCGTATGTTAGGTAGTAAGGGACTGAACAAAACTAATGTAACATGAACCACTCGTATGTTAGGTAGTAAGGGACTGAACAAAACTAATGTAACATGAACCACTCGTATGTTAGGTAGTAAGGGACTGAACAAAACTAATGTAACATGAACCACTCGTATGTTAGGTAGTAAGGGACTGAACAAAACTAATGTAACATGAACCACTCGTATGTTAGGTAGTAAGGGACTGAACAAAACTAATGTAACATGAACCACTCGTATGTTAGGTAGTAAGGGACTGAACAAAACTAATGTAACATGAACCACTCGTATGTTAGGTAGTAAGGGACTGAACAAAACTAATGTAACATGAACCACTCGTATGTTAGGTAGTAAGGGACTGAACAAAACTAATGTAACATGAACCACTCGTATGTTAGGTAGTAAGGGACTGAACAAAACTAATGTAACATGAACCACTCGTATGTTAGGTAGTAAGGGACTGAACAAAACTAATGTAACATGAACCACTCGTATGTTAGGTAGTAAGGGACTGAACAAAACTAATGTAACATGAACCACTCGTATGTTAGGTAGTAAGGGACTGAACAAAACTAATGTAACATGAACCACTCGTATGTTAGGTAGTAAGGGACTGAACAAAACTAATGTAACATGAACCACTCGTATGTTAGGTAGTAAGGGACTGAACAAAACTAATGTAACATGAACCACTCGTATGTTAGGTAGTAAGGGACTGAACAAAACTAATGTAACATGAACCACTCGTATGTTAGGTAGTAAGGGACTGAACAAAACTAATGTAACATGAACCACTCGTATGTTAGGTAGTAAGGGACTGAACAAAACTAATGTAACATGAACCACTCGTATGTTAGGTAGTAAGGGACTGAACAAAACTAATGTAAAATGAACCACTCGTATGTTAGGTAGTAAGGGACTGAACAAAACTAATGTAACATGAACCACTCGTATGTAAGGTAGTAAGGGGCTGAAGGTGACACGGTGCTACCTCCGAGATCCTTCCATTGGACCGACAAATCAATAGATCATGTTTATTTTTTTTTTTTTTTATTATTATTAAAAATGAATTTCTCTGAAGAGCATTTAATATTTCTAAATATATGACGCGATAGTGGGCATGCGTCGCAGGTTATTTCAGTTCGTATTTCTACCTCTTTTTACTTTTTTATCATTAAAAACAATGTTCGGTGTTCAACAGGGATCGGCATCGGACCATTAGTTTATTCTATGTGCAGTTTTTTCCTGATTACCTGATAAGGATGCTCACTTATACATCAAAACTAAAGATAAACATACATCAGCAATAGTGTAGCAATGCAGACCTAGTCTTTTATAAGGAAAAAATGTACACAAAGGATCTATTTCATCAACGATGAAATAGATTTCTTTGGTAACCGATTATGTTTCAACTCCAAAAACTATAGAAACTGCGATTAAATATAACAAATAATTTTATTTTTTTATTTCCTAAACACAATTTACTCTGATAATTGTTTGTGAAAACATAGCACTTGATATGTGAAGCCTGTACATAAAACAAAACATAGCACTTGACATGTGAAGCCTGTACATAAAACAAAAAACAATTGTTATTTCCCCCTATTTGGCCCCGCCCCTTTACCCAAGGGACCAAAGGATTGTCTTGGTTAAAATTCATAGTCCCTCATCCGTGCAGGAGGAGAATGATTTTAAAATGAGGTGTAAGAGATGTGCATTGATAAGTTTGGTTGCCTTACAAGCGTCAGCTGTAGGGAATTTCCCTTTAGCTCAGCGGTAGAGCATCGGGCTGGAAAGCCAAGGGTCGCGGGTTCGAGCCCACTGCGACGGCACTATCTTTTTCGCTTTTCCTCGTCCTATTACAAAGGTTTAAAACGGTTAATTAACACTATTTACAAACCTACTCTCTGCCACCCCCGCCCCCTACTCCACAAAGAAAATGTTGGGTTTGCACATCCTTCGTTCTAGGTAAGATTTGGTCAAAATTCATCGAACCGTTCAGGACACGTACCTAGCATTTTAAAAGGAAAAAAACAACAAAAAGTTGATGGGTGACGGGCGGCGGGACTGACGGCGCCGGGATGCCGCGTCACGGGTAAGGTCGTCTGTCCTTTGCAACTGAGCTAAAAATGTATAGAAAACACACGAGACAAAAACATGCACAAGTCACTGCTATCAGAAAAAAATCACAGCATATGCCTAACATTACATCATTGCCAATCATTTACCTTAATCCTAACCATCCGTTTTAAACTAAGTAGTCCATTTATATGCAGTGTATAAATTATGAAACCAGAACATTTGCTATCTTTTAACTTTAAATATGTGTTAATCATGTCCTAAATAATTTTCAATTTGCCTTTATTCCGAAAACGAATATTCTATTTTGGCTCACTTGGGAATATGGTAAAATTTGACGATTGTGAGCACGTGAACTGTCTTTATGCCGAGTTGTTGCTGTTGAACGATGCCTGCTGCGTCTACAAAACCCGATAAAGCCTCATTTGAGGCGACTGAACCAATCAAACAAGTTCTCCAGGTTGTGGAAAAGAAAGTCCGCAATTTGGAAAAACGAAAGGTATTGTTTTGGGGGCTGAAATTTAATAAGAAGGGAAATTTTCGAGAAGTAAATTACTCATGTCCAAATGTGTCATGGAATCGGTGTACTTATTTATCAATCGATCATAGCGACCATTTAGTACTAACATCACTGTTTATTGTTTCCATTAAAGATCAACATCTGGTCTTTTTTGTTATGTTATTGTTGAACTTTACATCTTGTCGTCAAAGGTATAATAAATGCTTACAGTAGACATAACTATCCGGCTTAAATTTCAAAATGGCGGCCCTCATGAAAGCATGTTGTGGATCGCGGAAGGTAAATACGGAAAACAGCGTTAACTACTTGCCATGCAAGGAGGTTCGTTTGTATATGGCATGCAGATATGAGTATCAGTGTTCCGGAAAAAGGTATTTTCAGTTCGTGATTAACTCCATCAGTTGAAGGGCGCATTTTGCCAGTAGCGGTAATAATATATAGTTAAAATACAAAGTGCTAAACCTGATCTGATTTGAATTAGATCCAAACTTAGTGTTTAGATTAAGCCGTCCTCGAGTCTTGACCCCTGTGGAAGGAACATTATCTATTTTTGGCATTTTACGAAATAGGGTTTGTTTGTAGGGTATCGGATCGCCCTGGGTCGTTTCGCCTAAAAAAGATTTTTAGTGTGATTTTTTTTTGTCCTGCTTAGTTGTATATGGCTTATAAAGTATAATTTAAAGTTTTTCTGATCTCCCTTAGCTTTTATTGTTAAAAGACTTGTTATATTTGTATGTGATCGACCAGATCTGCACATGTATACAATGTAGCATGGAATTCTTTCGACGAGATATTTGCTTGTGAAAACCACAGAATTGGAACTAAATCGAATGCTAGTCGTTTCGGTAACAAGTCGTTTCGGGACAAAATTAAGTCATTTAGGGACTTACTAAAGTCGTTTCGGAACATAAAAAAATATAATCAAAATATAAATGAATGTTACAAGTTACATTTCTCTTTCCCTTTCGTAAAAATCTGTGTAAACACAGCTTTCGTCGTAGCCTTTCAGCAATGACGTCACAATTTATGTGTTCACAAGAGTATGCATATGGCGTCTTCGACCTACCCGTGCTTGGGATTTAGTTTTGCCAATTAGCGCCATGCTTATATTGCTTGAGGGGGTACCTGCCAACATTAACCTGATTGACAACATGTTGTTAATTTGATTAAACTAATCCCATTATTAAATAGAGAGGGACGAACACCAAGTACCGAACCGAACGTGCAGTCAATATCAATTAATCAATTATTTTTACATAATTTCATTCGTTATTTAAGGTTCCTTGCTTGTTTGATATCGTGATAACATGTTTTCGTTTTACTCTTTTCCCTATTTAATGCTGCCAACTTGATCAAGTTTCCCTTTTTACAGAAGTACTAATTTGACAGTAAGTTTTGCATATAAAAAGTATCAAATTTTACAATATAGACTAGTAGGGTGTGTTTTTGTAACCCTCATTGTTGAAACTATGAAAACAGTGATCTCCTCACTGAGGTACTTGGAGTACGTCCAAACGTTGTTTTTTTTGTAAAGCTAAGTTAAAATTATGAAATCAAAGAGCTCCTTACTGTTTGTTTTGCTGAAATTTTGAAAACTACTCAATTAAAAAGTAAACCAAATAAACATAAACACGTGTGCTAAACAAACAGTAGAAAATAATCGAGATGTCCCGAAACGACTTTTGACACTCTCGAAACAACCCTGAAAAAGGTCACGAAACGACTTCCGTCTTGTTACAGAAACGACTTGTTACCAAAACGACCTGACAGTGTTGAAACAAGAAAATATTATTTTGAAGCTTTTTTAGTAATCAAAGAATGTTTGACAGATATTCATAACATTAAAATGTAAAGATATATTAGGGCGAAACAACATTGGACGAACTTGATTCAGGGCGAAATGACCCGGATCTGTTTGTAGTTATGAAATAAGTCAAGTTTTAGTCTTTCATTTCATCAGTTACAAAATTTCGCAGCAGAATGATGCCATTTTATAGATGCACTTCAATGAATTGTAGTGGAACCAGACTACATCGATGACAGGGTGGCTCGATCAATTGATCTGTCTTGAGTTCAGAGCTAGAGGGTCCTGGGTCAGAAGCCCCGGTCTGGCCATATATTTTCTACTCCTACTAAATAATCATTACACCAGCACAATGGATCGAAACCAACTAAAGTTCACTTTGTTTTTCTTTTTCAAACTTGAATTAACCTGAATGAGCATGTCAAACAACATAAATTGATATATACAGTAATCATGATGTGCCCTTGGTCTTTTGCGCTGTCATTTTTCCATTCAATTCTATATACCGGGTATGTTCATTTACTTTTGGAAAGATTTTCCTTTCATAGTTTTTGAACCAAAACTTGGTAAAATTTGGCACTCAACTAGATAATTATCTGGTATTTCTATTTGGTAATATTGATAAAATTATCCGATTCATAGAATTCTAACCATGATGAGTTGATTGGCCAAAACATTTTTTATTGCCAAAATTTAACAAAAAATTGTGTCTGGGAATGACGTATGATGATAATAATGTGAAGAATTGACCCAAAGTTCTAGTAGTATCTATGTGAAAATTGGTCGCAGTCAAGAGATACTTCAAGTATTCATAGTGAACTTTGGATAGAATTATAATATATCTTAAGCTAATACTGTATACTCTGAAATTTTCGCCTTTCACCCAGTGTTAAATTCGCCCTACATCTTCAACAGTGGAAATTCCCCGTTACGGCCTCTCTGATGTACACTTATCATCCATGTAAATATTTGAAACTAAATGATGTGTTTTTGGAATATTGAATGATTGAAAAATAAAACAAATTGTCAATCATTTATTATGAAACATAAGGTTGCATCACACACTGGACCCCAATTGCATCACATAAGGTACCGAAGTTAATAAACCTCAGTGTAGACGAAATAGTGACAAAACTTGCCATCGTATACATATTTACTTAAACTTTCGCCGTCATGTTAAATTAGCCCTCGGATCGAAAGGCAAAAGTTTCCTGGCATACAATAGACTCCTTTGCTATAATGAACAATTGACTTATGAACCATTATTTGTTGTTGACATCTTTGTTGAATTTTTTGTTGAAGGTGAAGCTCGATGGCTACAGGGCCAAAGCTGATAGTGGAACCAAGTTGGAGAAAGACCAACAGGTAATTAAAGGTGTTCAGTCTTTCGCTTTGACCTTATTTTGAATTATGGTATTTGCAGAGTAGGATTTTTTTTATGTTTATAGATATTTTAATTAATATCTGAAAACATGCTTCAATTAAAAACCAGTTTGAAAGTAAAAAATTCTTTTGTTTGGCATAGGGGAAAGCAGATGCCAGAAAACAAAAAATACAAGACCTAGAATTGAGGCCTGATAAAATTCTGTTATTCAGAAAAGCTGAAGCATAACAACCACAATATTGATATAGTGTTCATGAAGTAGTGCGGTAGTCGATATAAAGCTTGCATTGTAATGTGATGTTTTACTTGGACAGGCGGCCGTTGACAAGTATGAAGAAGTCATGCAGACATTGGAGTTTGCTCGAGATCTGCAGAAACAATTTCTCGGTATCAATGTTGATGTGAGTATTCAAAGTTGTATTTATTTTCATTGATTCTTTTTCTTGCATAAACAATTTGGCAGTTGCTATACTTTGCTGGAAATATCCTAAGTTACTGTTTAACTATGCTTGATAAATTTGCCTGCACAGTAATCAATTTGTGTGATATTTTTTTTTTATCATAAACTGATATATTATTTTCATTTTACCTTTTAAATTTATGCATTATGTATGGCATATGTCTTGATACTTCAGGGATTTTTCTACCATCTTTTATTCAGGTCCAGGGTCCAATGAATTGGGGAATTTTTACGCGGTAAATTGGGGAAAATGAGGGGAAATAAAATTTCATACATTTTCCAGTTACTGTTAATAAATTTTACTTCTTATAAGAAATTATATTGCATTCTTTGATATTGGAATTTCTTATTTATTTTTCAATGCATAAGCTTAGGTCTAGCGTACAGTTAAACTCTAGTACATCTAGTAAAGGCATGTACAAAATTCTGATAGCCAGAAAATACAGTAATAAATAAAATTGAACAGATCATTTCTGGATTCTGTGCCTGGACTGAATTAGTTACAAAGATCGCTTCTTTGATGGTTAGTATCACTTTCTTGAGTAATACATGTTGTAAATTTGTTTTATTCCGACTTAAATCATGCAGGCTAGACAAAAGTAGCGAAATTTTACAACGCTAATGCAACAGAAATAACTTGATAATATTCTGATGTATACTTTTGAATTTAATTTTCAAGGGAATTAAAATATATTTTCATTGACACAAATGTTTTAACATCTTCCCTCTCCACACTGAGCATATTTAAATCTTGCAAAAATAGCCATCCGATTGGGAATTTTTCAATGGCAAATTGGGAATTTTAGCAAGATTTTCCAAGGGGAAAGGGGCCGTTATTCGGCCCCAAATTCTATTGTAGGAAAACCCCTGCTTGATTAAAGGAATACCCCGCAACAGAGTTAGACACTAACCTTTTTTTTTTGCTTCGTAGTCCACAGGACTTGTTGAATGGAATTTTTAGGAAATATTTAGTAAATGTTTTAAATTATTTTGCAATATATCTGTAGTTTAAGCAGTTTTCCAAAAAGAATATTCTTTCCTCATCGTGTGTATTCGATTTATGTCCCAAGGTGCTTTGTTAGTAAAATGATTCTTCATCTAAACTTGCATTAACATTTGTTTCTTTGCATGTAATTGTAGGCCGAGAAAATGATGAAAAAGCAGATGAAAAGGGAAAAGATAGATCGACAGAACATGGTCCTGAAACGCATGCAGGAGATGCTGAAGGTCCAGAACCTGCTCGATAGCATGGGGTCTGATAAAGTCCGAAGTGACTTCCAGACGGGCAAGCATGGTGCAGTGGTGAGTGCAGCAGAGTTTGTTTTTGTTTTTAATGCCTCCCCTAGGCAATGATTCTCAGACCTCTTTTTTATTAGTCTAGAGCTCTATCATTTAAGCAAAAGAGAAATTTTTCGTCGCTAAGTTTTTAGCTTTAAGATGGCATAGTCTTCCATTAGGGAAGAACTTGTCCCAAGTGTTTCGTGGGGGTAAAAGCATTCTTGTGCAAAAACAAAAATGCATATTTTGTCATAATTGCCTGTGTCCCTTATTAATGCAGGTCAATGTAACAGAGGTCATTGTTTAGTAAATTTATGCCTTATTTTGGACCAAACTGGTTCTTTTTGTTTGCTAGACTGATTATGTACCAATCAAGCTTAAGAGAAATTCATTTAACAAGGCTATGATGTTGCAGATAATAATATTTTGACATACACAACTTGCATTTTGCATTATGCATTATCACAAGTGTTATTTCTAGTTCTGATTTAGCTCTTTCTAACAGTTCAAAGGTGACTAGAAATTAAAAACAAATTTTACAGGTTCTGACGGAGGAAAATCTAACCCATCTGGACGAGTTATACAAACTGATCAGTCCGTCACGTGATAGTGGGAACTACACAGAACAACTTAACCAGGCTTCAGAGCACCTCCTTTGTCTGTTAGATGCCAAGGAAAAGGAAGTCGTCGGAACAAACTACAAGGATCTCAATGAGCTGCTTGATCTCATCAATAACTGCGGCTACTTTGAGAATGCAGCTGCTCAAGAAGTAGAGGCGACAGAGGATGCCGCTGGTGACCAGGAATTCATTGTGGTCAGTTCCAGCGAAGTTCCTCAAGCTGATTCTGTAGAAGTCCAGGCATCACTTCCTCCAAAGGTCATTGAGGAACAACAACATGAACAAACCAACGAGGCTAGTCAAAGTAGTGTACAACAGCAGGCAGAGTATGCCACCATGGCAGAGGCAGACTCATTCTTTTCCAAGGCAACAGCAAACACGGCAGAAGTATCCACAATAACAGCAACCCAACAACAACAACAACAACAGCAGCAGCAGCAACAGCAGCAGGACCAGACACAAGACAATACTTACAATCCACGACCATTCCAAGATATTGTATCCAAGGTTCAAGGTAACTTCAACTTTCTACAGGAATCCACACTAGACATGGAGTCACCTCACATGGACCCAGCTGTCGTGGCAGCCCATCCAATGCCCCCTGCCCCCCTTGGACATCAAACTGAAAGTTTATCATCACAGACATTTACCAATCAAGGGTTTGGGGACCTTGCCCAACAAGCACCCCGTGATCTCACCTCATCAAACAAAGAATCCACACAATCGTTGCTCTCCAAGCAAAAGTCATCCCTAGGGGGTGCATCTGACTTTCCTTCTCAAACATTTGGGCAGAGTTTACAAAGTGATGCCCTTTTTTCTTCATCTGCTGTGAAAGATTCCTCATCCCAACACACACAAAGTGTGATGGGAAAAACAAGTGACAATTCAATATCCAAATTTGAAATTCCACAAAGTATTCCCATGCCACCAGGCTTACAGTCAAACACACAGGTGAGTGATAGCATCAAGCAATATAATGTAGCCTCTTAAAAAAAAGAGCAGGCTGATTTGAAAATTGACAAATAATTTTACCTGTACTATATTATTTCACCGAGTGCCTTATATAAAATATAAAGGTTCAGATGGTCTTTATGCTGGCTGATAAATTGTTACAAAGTTTTGAGATAATGATCCTGTAGCACTTTTGCCTCAGGAGAAGGGCCTGGAAAGACTGGTTTTGGCCTGTTTTATTTGTTTTAATTCAGAAATTTTGCATTAGACAATAATAATTTTGCACTAGACAGTCTTGGAGGCACAGTTGTCTAGTGGTAGGACGCTGGACTAGTGACCGAAGGATTGCAGGTTCGTGTCACGGCACTGTGTTGTATCTTTGAACAGGATACTTTACTCCGCTTGTTCCAGTACTAGTCTACTCGGCTGTAAATAAGTATGTGGTTGGGCATTGCTAGAATTGCTGAATGATAGCTGGGAGTGCAGAAATGGCAGCACTGGCTGGTTGCCCAGAGAGATATTGGCTGGTTGCAAAGGCCCTATAACCACGGATAATAATTTGTGAACCGCTTTGAGACAACCTTCAAACTAGGTTGTGATAAAGCGGTATATAAGAATCTTGAATTATTATTTTATTAATTATTAAATTTATATAAAGGGTTTCTGACATGAACATATGAGAGGGAGCTTAAAGTAATGTTATATTTCAAATTCAGTGATTTAACATCATTAGCTTTGACTGTTGGTCTTAAAAGGACAACTTTTATGCACTTTATGTGTGTTTTGACCCTCAAAGTTGTTGTCTATGGAAGTTGTTGTCTATGGAATATGACTTCTAAAGCTAAATGTTGTGCCCTGTAATTGATTCATATGCATTCATGTGGATGATTGGGTATACACAATGGTAAAAATAGGGTATACACAATGGTAAAAATATTAGGATGAATTCCAAAGAAGAAATATTAATGAGTGGTGGCGGGGGTAAATATCATTTCAAAAGAATTCATCGTAATGTTATAAAGCTGTCGTGATAAACAAGCTATTCTATATATACAAACTACATACGACTTAATACATTTATTGTAAATTTAATACATACATTAGTAATTTCCTTAAAGTGTGCTTTTGGCAAAAATGTTCAGGATGACCTGCTTTATAGATAAAAAAAATCTGAGAATGATCAAGACCTGCCAACAATAAAACTTTTTGAAAAATAAGCACGAACAGTGAAAATAGCAGGTATATCTATTGAATCATCATGGAATTTAGGAACTGTAGAAAACAGTAGTGCTGATTTGAGCTTGAAATAGTATTAATAATAATGAGTTAACCCTTTTACCATTGTATACCATGATGGACTTATCCCAATAAATGCATGGTAGAGTCCACTAAAGTTACCTAGCAAGGGGGAAAGGGTTAATTAGAAGCATTTGATTTATATATAATAACACAATAATAAATGCAAACATGCATTTCCAATATTTTAGTTGAAAAGTAATTAGAAACATCTGTGAATTGCTATAAATAATGATTTATGAAGTATTTATGTTAACCATCTTACTGCTTTTTTTTCTATTCCCAAAAATAGATATCACAAGGACCTCTATGATATATGTGATTGATAGTTATAAGATAACTAGATTATAACCGATTTAATGACTAGGAAATTGAAGTGGTTTGATATAATGAATGGGGTTTCTTATATTTTAAAAATTGCATGTTTTCTATGCTGAAAAGAATTTCCATTAATGGGTTAACAATCTTATAACGATCGATAAACATGACATGGTGTGAATTTATGCAGAAAATTTACTTTATGATTGGATCTTTCCAAAGTTTATCAAAATACGAAATATAGAATTAAAATAACGACAGATTTCTTCCTGTCCTGATCAGGAATCTTCAGCAGCAGAAGCGGCAGCCGAAAAGAAGTTCACAATGAATCCAAATGCAGAGATGTTCCAATCCCAACTGTACAATGCATCATCAACACCAGGTCAGGATGAGTTTGGCCAACAGCAGGGAGACTTCGGCAGACAAAGCTATCAGGGTAAGTCAAATGCTAGCTGTGTTAGGGATTATGGTTTCTTGCAGGCCACCAATAAGGAGTTGAACAGACATGGAGATCGGGGTAAATCAAATGTCGATTATCATGTTGCAGGAATTATACCCATACCCACTTGTGTTGGAATCGGGGCTTTCAGCGACCATTGCATTGGCAATTAACTGTTTAAGAAGTCAAATAGATTTTTCTCTAAATGTTGGGGACTCGAAGCATATGTGAAATAGATGTTTTTTTTAAAACCAGAGTCAAAGCTCAATTTGGAGAGTCCAAAACACTCTCAAGGGTTAACTGAAATCCTTGGAAATGCTATTAATTCTTGGCACTTTCAAGGACAAAGGTTGAAGGAGAGTATCCTGTCAAATTGCAGGTATTTGGCATTTGATAATCATGAAAAGTATGTATTTTGAAAAATTGAATTCATCCTATATGGATTAAAGAATACATTTTGATACAAGAATGGAACATAATTTGTGGTATGGAATGGATAGATTTTCACATTTCTACTGATCTTGCATATATTTAAGATCAGAAAAGAGTCTTTAAAAAAGATATTAACTGAATTAGTGTATAACTTTTTTTCTAGGAAATAATTACAATTCAAGTTATCGCAGCAACAGAGGAAATGGTGAACGAGGTGGCTTCAGAGGAAAGAACAACAGAGGTGGAGAACGAGGTGGAAACATGGCCAACGGGTTCTCGGGAGGTCGTGGTGCAAGGGGAGGCAACTCCTACAGTGGCAACAGAGGAGGGCAGAGTGGTAAGTGACTTATCAACAGATCCCTGTGGTTTGTTCAGAAGAATCCGTAATGACCAACCATACCACTACTTCAGGATCAACTGTATGAAATAAGTTCACAGCTTAATGAAGAAAGTTGGAATTTGTTTTTGACAGAACAAAATGAAAAGTCCAGCGTGTTTGCCGCAAAAATTCATTCCAAACACAATTTTAGTCATTTGTAGCTATTTGCATGTGAAAGAGTTTTCATATTGATGTGTCATTGGTAAATAGCATGGATTGATGGTATGGTATATCCTTGTGTGATTAAAGTAAAAAAAATAGGTTAACCAGTTTATGTCGGCCCTGTATATGGATTGTTTATTTGTGTTTCAAAATACACTTTTTACATGTTTTATTATTTACCTGATTTTTCTTGTGAATCCTGCATGTTTTTGGTTCTGTACTTCGTCAAATAGATATCAAATTGTTGTGTACATTGTCCGAATTAATATGAGTCAGTATTTTTCTTTCATGTTCAGTGATTTCACTTTTTTTATTGACAATAATATGCAAGCTGTTAAAGGAAGTGAGCCAAATATGTATGATAAAATAAAGAACATTTTTAGTGTATTTTTCTGTGAGGCCCAACTGCCAGGAAACATGAGAGACATAAAAGAAAAGGTTTAAACTAACACCGTTTGCATAGTATAACTTATCAGATAAAGAAACACATATCTAGACAATATCACTGTTGTATTGCAATGGATTTTCATGTTTTTTTAAAATAGGTTAATACAAAGTGTAATAGTGTGAAATTTCTAGATTGTTAAAATGAATTACCAAATTTCCATTTGGTGATCCAATTAATTATAACCTATAGATTCCATGTCAACCTGCAAGTCAAATGACCTGTAAGGATTTTTCAGACACATTTAGTAGAGTAGAATGGTAATGCTAGAGTAGAGGTATTGTCTATTAAAGTTCAAATTGAATTAAAAGTAGCAAAAATATAGCATGATAATACTCTAAGGAATCGCACGAAAGAAATATTGAAGAATGGACATAAGAAACGCCCAAGTCTGTCGACGCGCCGTTTGTTAGTGACCAATCGATATACTTCTGTTACAGGGACTTTCCAAGGCTTCCCTCCCCGCTCAAACGACTACAACAATAGGTCCGAAGGATATCAAAATCACAACAGCAACTTCGGTGGCAATAACAGTGGTGGAGGATTCCAAAAGCGTGGGGGTGGAGGCCAGGCAAGGGGGAACAGTAGAGGAGGAGGAGGTGTGTCTCTAATATAAAGTTAATTAGTCCTTCCTTGAGCAGCTCACATACTGTCATTTTTGTATACTGTCAGATTCTGACATCAGCTCGGCTTATATCATCAGATCTAGATGTGGCTTTTTCGTTCAGTCAGCAGAAGCGTTTGGTTAGACTTTTGCTTGTCCTTTAAATTTGTGTCATAGAGTGCTAATAAACAACTCAAACGAGGTATTCCGTCTTTGCATATTGCAGAGTTATCTTCTCTTGTGAGCAGGTATTGATTGTTACGTCATTGGTTTGTGAGAGCAACGTCATCAATTTTTGGGAAAACGACGTAATTTTCTCACACAAACCAATGACGTAACAATCAATACAGACGGAATAGCTGTCGCTGGAAACTTCTATCAGTTTCCTATTTTTTTTACCCTGTAACCCTTTGTAAACTGTGATGGGAAATTAAGATAATTTTTTGACTGAATGTGTTTTAAATTTGGAAGATAGCTATTATTTCAGACATTCCCTGACCGTAATAAGCTCAACATAGTCTAGAAGATGTCTGCATGAAATTATTTTCTTTTTCCCTGCACGCTTTATAAAAAAAATCGTTTTTTTATCATTTTGTGATTAAGTGCAAGCTTCTTTAAACTGACTGGATCTGGAGGCATTATTTTGAATGTCGCCTATTTGCACTCGTTCAAGTTGGGGCAGTTCTACTAAATGTGATGCACTCCTCTTTCACGCTAGGAAAGAATTTTACCCCTGCATCTAATATTACATTTATTTATACATTTTTGTTACCTCTTCTTTAACCTTGCCTCTTTCATATTTTAATGATATATCACACTATTTAGGAGGTATATTTAAATGTGGTAGATGTATTTATTTTCAAAAACAAATAAGATAAAACTATTTGTTACACCAAAATCTGAAATTGTTTCTCAATCGCTATCGTCAATTTCACCCTAGCAACAGGACTAGACTATTGATCCAGGATGGCAAAATCCCAAATGTAAATGCTTCAATATATACATTCAATGCTATTTGCATTTTTACACTTTATCCACTAGTGGCATAACATCCTGTCTTGGTTTATCGAGGGTTATAATCCATACCTCTGATCTGCTCCCTTGGTGTTTCTTGAAGCAGAATCGAAGCTGCCACTTAACTATCAATGGTAACGGCTATGCACAGCCAACCAATCAAATTGCACTCTGTACTTCACAAGTATGTGTCATAATCCACTGTTGAAAAAACTAATGCTGTGGTAATTAAAGGGACAAAACTCTACAAACTACTAGATAGTTTGGAACAAGTGGTAAACTTTTGTTGCCAAATATACTTTAAGTGCAGAGAGAGGAATGGATTGTCAACTCTTTTTAAGTGTAAATGACTGATGTCTTCATTCATTTTTGGTCTGATCAACACAGTGAAAGCAACCATTAATATCATCTTAATTATTTGCAGTTAAAGACTGAATCAGATTATGACTAAATATAAAAAGTATAAAAAGAAAACTCCTCAAACATTTTTCATGTTTAGCACAATAGCGTACTTGCCTTTTTAAAAAGATAAGTCTTTTTAAGTATCGCAGACATTGGTCAAGTCTTTTTAAGTATAGCAGACATTGGTCAAGTCTTTTTAAGTATCGCAGACATTGGTCAAGTCTTTTTAAGTATCACAGACATTGGTCAAGTCTTTTTAAGTATCACAGACATTGGTCAAGTCTTTTTAAGTATCACAGACATTGGTCAAGTTAAAGCTTATTTTAATTTGTTTGACATATTCCATTTACGTTATTCTTGTAAAGTAGAGAATGTTGTATGGTGGCCTTTACTGATTTCTGTTTCTGTGTACTTACAGCTGCGAGGGGTGGTGCACCCAGAGGAGCAGCTCGTGGAAGTTCCAGAGGAGGACAAGGTGGTGGAGGAGGATTCGGGCGTCCTCAACAGCAGCAAACTGCCTGAGGTCACATTTTGCATCTTGTGACCAGTCACATGATAGTCATGTGACAGTAATGGATCGGATGTAGTAGTGGAGTTATTGCTTGACTGTTCAATTTGAATTTCAAGTTGTGGATGAAAATCAAACAAACCATGAAATTTTATCACAGTGCATGATTGGTGGCTTTTTTTTTCCTGTCCCTTTTTTATGTCATTTGTCTTGCAAGTAATTATTTTCCTAATTTTATTTAATCATGCATTATGAAAAAGAACCACCACCATTTGTCCACACCTTCCTATTCAGCATTGGATAGAGGGTACTTCATTGCTATGGAAATATTTGTGAGTATTGTAGATGTGGTATGGCAACTTCAACAGCAAACAACACAAACATTTTCCTTTTATTTGCATTTCATGGAATTGAGGCAAGGATCACAATCAAAGGCATAATGATGACAGTGAACACGAGCTAGTACTCGGAGAGCTCACATGTGTACAACACATAGTTTCGAAGAGGCCAAACATCTGTTGTAGCAGAGCATTACAACTTCAAAACCAAGTGCTGTGATTAGCGATCAAAGAACAATAGGAACTATGTGTTGTCTAACTGACAAGTTCAAAAATTGCTGAGATTCAAACGTGCAACTCTGTTAACATGAAATGGAAGGATTTTTTACATGGATGCAAAACTCCAAGTGACATAGAAGTTTTAATGCGTCAAGTTTCCGTCATATCATTATATGAATGCTAAGTTTGAAGCAGCTACTCTTATTTCACTTGAAAAAAAATTGTAAAAAAAATTGTAAAAAAAAATAAAATATGATTTTAAAAAAATGTTCCAGAAGAAATACCCCATAAGCATAGATTTGTTCATCTTTCTTTTCTTATTTTCACACTCCTTATTTTGTTCCCTTGAGGGTCTTGGCTTGAGAGTAGAGATAATCATGGAATTGATGGTTACCATATGAAATCTTGGGCCTTCGAATAAAACAGTTGGTGACTACAACTATGTCTGTGTTTCTTTTCTTTATATAGTCCTACTTCAACATTTTCAAATGTTGGGCTGTTGAATTAGCCTTTTATGTCCACAATTCATCTGTCTTGTCCCTGTTATGCCAAATATAAGAAGTATTTTGTTTCCAGTTACAAAACCAACCCAAAACTTGTGTCTATCCAGATTTTTTTGGCAATTTTCAAGAAATCACTGTTGAAGTCGAGATTACTCTTTTCTCCTATATGAACCTTCTCTAAAACATTGAAAAATAGAATTTATTACCTACCCTAAGTATTTCAGGTGTAACGGGAAACAAATTATTTCTTTAGTTTGGCCTTGTCACAATTTCTCGAAAGAATACTTGAGGGATCTATCATGGAAAGATTTTACCACATTTGACCCCACAAGGTTACTTGATAGATCTTCCTCCCCGCATACCACACTAGGCAAACTATTATGACCCTACACCACTTGGTTTATCAGAAGAAATCATGATCGATCTGAAATGAAGAGTGAAAACTGATTTGTTCAGAAGTTTTTTTCACAGAAACAAATAACACTAACAAGTATTTCTCTCTCTCTTATTTATTGGGACAACTTCATTTTCATGCACCAGCAATTAGTCAAACAGCTTGCCCAATGATCTGTACATCCTGATTCATACACTTCAGACGATAACATTTTCTCGGTATACCTCAAAAAGACATTCACAGGCACTTATACAATAAATATTTTAAAACAGAGTTTGATGTAAAGATTTCATTAACATCATTTCCTATCTAAATCAATCAACTTCACTGGGATGGATAGCTGGTGGCATTAAGTATCCAATGTATGTAATTACGTTTCACACAATCAATAATTGATGGTACCTGCCAAGTGTAGTTGCATTTCGCACAATCGATAATTGATTTAATACAGTACATGTAATTACATTTTACACTGTCCCTACTTGATTACACACAGGTTTTATTGTATAGCTATAACTCGGTATGGCTACTACTATGTAGCTAATATCCAAACATTGAAAAAAAAGACGCACAACAACAACAATTTGCACTACAAAGTTAACAGACAGCTAAGAATTAAAATTTGTTTTCCCGTTGATAGCTTGTTTATCTCAATTTTCCAAGTCTGCTATTGTTTTATGAAAATCTTATATATACGAAGTTTATGAATGGTAACGTGTACATCGGTTTTATATCTGGTATTGGTGGAATGTAGTGGTGACATTTATGAGAAAAAATTCAAATGTGAAAATCTTCCTTATATAATATAAATAATATATAAATATAAGATATAAATAATACCACTTTCTAAAACGTTTAAAACTTTCACACACATACTCACAAACACACACAAAAAAAAGCGGAAATATTGAAAACCTGTCACCTGACATTAGAAATGGTTCAAATTTCCATATTTTAGTTAGATCTGTTTTTTGGATTTACTTGATGCACACATCCAACTAGAAGGTGACCTGCTACAAACGGAGACACATATTCTATTGACAACAGAAGTCAAAACCATACAGTATACCACATACCATCACAGTCGCACACCTTTACCATAACAAAACTCGGAGCATATGTATTTGGTACTTATACTGTGACACTCACAGACTCTTACTAGTAATACAGATTCTGGATACAATTTCTCATTTTTTACACTCATTTGTATGAAGTACAACACAAACTACACTACTACATATACCGAATGCTAAACATACCAAGTGCAACGAATCCTGTTTAATATACATTTTCTTCTAGAAAGATATGTTATAACAAATCATATTGGGAGACAAATTATAAAAAAATCATATCAGGAGACAAATTATAAGTAATTCCCTGGGTTAAGGAATTTAACACATTATCTAGAATATGAGGTTAAATGTTACAGTAAGTGGAATTCACTGCACTGAAAAAACAGACATGTTTTACACTGGTAAATGGTAAAGAATTTTTATAGGATCTGAAAACATAAACCTGCTGAAGTCAGCTGTGAGCCAGTACGGCCTGGTGGTTGTGTCGGCTCTACGATATTATGATGCCATTAACATTCGAGATAGTTGATGGATACGGGCATGGCTGTTATACAATTTATTGAAAATTTATCTCATATTTGAAGGTCATGCAAATAAACAATTGAAATTTAAATAGTAAATCTATGAAGAGAAAATATATAAATAGTATACTGCATACTGTTCATAAATTTCCTATACTGGTCAGGAAATATTGTAGACAAGTAATCCTAACAAACATTTTGTTTTCTGCAATTCTGTTCATAATTATTAACAGAAAGCAACTTAATGCTTTAATGAGTGCCATATGGAAAACAAGAATTTGCTGCAGAGTTGAGCACCAACCACATCAAATAAAAAATAATAAAAAGTACTGGCGAGTTTACCACAGGATTTAAACTGTTACCAGCATTCTGTTCAATTTGTCTACAAAAGTGCAAAGTTGTAAATAACACTGCCATATTTCAAACAGTCACCACTCTGTTTTAGAAAGGGTGTTGCGTGATCTTAAGATGATAAAAATGTCTGAAGGATACGATTGTATTTCAGTCTGATCCAGCAACAACTGTACCAATATCTTACTTCCCGTGGACCAAATACTATAGACTACAACAGCTGGTTCACGACAGTTTGACAGATTTATCTCCCCTTTGGCTGGTTTCCCTCCCTATTCGCAGCAGAAAATGAAAATAATCAAATTCACCCTAACGTATATAACTTTTACTAAAGTGCTATTCAGTGAAGGAGTATATTATGTTCAGATTAAAGAAAACTACAATATATCTATTGCCAGTTCATATTTCACAGATAGAAATGTTTACCAAACGGAAACACCCTGATGACTGACTGGATATTTATGGATAAACAGAGATTAAGACTCTCGCTACAGACATCATTTCTAGGTGCTGTACTCGGATACCCTATTCTGCTATGATTTCATCAATTCCACAGGCAGTACTCTGTTCCTATACAGTAACAACAATAAGGTTTGTTTTATTTACAACATTACCCTATTACATGTACCATAATTTTCTGGGTATTGCCCACTGTATATACATTTTTTTTACCTTGAAAATGTCCTCTGGGCTATCTAATGAAACGGGCTATGTGACAAAATATTAAAAAAAATATGAAAAGGGTCAACTACGTGATTTTTTTCAAATCCAAAATTGTATTCATCTTCAATTATAAACAAAAATACAACAAAATTACAGAAATTCTTAAGTTTCATCATCTCGAAACCATGCATGAAAAGCTAATTAATTACCGGCACTGTATTTTATTGTCTGAGGAGTACTTCCTGCACTACTATGCGTCACCTTGGCTGTTTTCATCAGAATAATGAATTGAATTATTGGTATATTGTCTATATTAAAGGATTCAATAACTTACATGTCCCGATAAGTACAGGTCAGACCTACATCTATCGGAGTGATTGGTATTTATTGTGTATAATAGTTTTTATGTAGCAGATAATTAATATAACCAGCAGGTGGGCAATGATGCTAATCTGCACACTTTATTTCCTAAACATTATATTTAGATTTGTGCGGATGAAGAAGCAAAGCAGGCAATACACAAGAAATTTCAGTACTTAAAAAGGACAATGGATATATACAACATATGTCTCCAGGTATACAGGATGAAATAAATATAATTGAATAATTCTGTACAAAATTAAACATATTTTTTTTTATCTTATTCTTTCCAGTAATATGCAAGTCTTGTATAAATGTACCAGTACTTCATTCTTATCAGACTTAAAAGACAAATACAAGTTAACATGTTGCTAATAACTGTTTGAACATTTACCACACAACAGTGGAAGGTGCTTTGTCAAAATGGCATGCACTACACTGTGTGTGTCTCGTTACCGTCGGTCATTATAGCACGCAAGCTGTGCGTAGCTCAATCGTTAGGGTGTCAACAAGATTTGTAGAAAAACACACCTCTCCTGTTATTTATACAGATATCTGTATCAACATATCAATCTCATTTTCAAAACACATGATAGATTACTGTTAATCATACCATCCAGATATCAGCATCCGTACCACAAAAAGCTGGGTGTTAGACCGAGGATTGGCATTGTTTCCTTATATGAACACATATGCTTGTTGTTTCCGTTGTATTAGCCAGTATTATTAGTTCGGCAGTCTGAGTTTCAAGATCATGGGTTTTCCCGAGTACCAGACATTCAAATGTACTCTGTCAGACCTCCATTAATTAAAGCAATCTTTCTTTTTTGCCTTCAAATTCTTTTATATCTCTCTACACACAATTCAGCATGTTTTACTGAGACATGGTAGCACTTCATATATTGATATCATTTTTTCATACCTCGAGGGTGTGACAACGAAATGTTACCATGGGATTTCTTTTACATACACTAATCATGGGGAATCATTTTTATGTTCACACTACTAAAAATATGTTTAGGAGAAAAAGAAATATTTCTATTCACACCACCAAGGTGTAATATTTGTTCGTCTGATTAAAAAAGGAAAAATCTTTCCATTTTTTGCATTTTGATGTCACAAGTGCACATAGCTTGTTCCTTCTATCTCTACAATGTAATTTCTTTGCCCACACCCTGTTATAGTGATAAGGAATCTGTCCCCTTCATTCCTAGAGTAATCTGTCTGACTTATTCCCAGTTAATATATCCTCTTTGTTTTTTAGACTAACATTTCTGCTCTCACTAATATTCTTTGAACCCCCCCCCCCCCCCCCCCCCCCCCCCCCCCCCCCCCCNTCGAGTAGACTCTACCGTACATTGATTAGGATGAGTCCATTATGGTCTACAGTGGTGAAAGGGTTAATTAAAGCAATACATTACATTGATTTGTTGACTTGTCCTTTCCTTTGTTACCCTGTCTTACTCCAGGGTACTGTGCATACCCACAGTATTTTCCATTATTGTAACAATTCTTCTTACCTTTTATTGTAATATGACCCAGACCCTTGTACCCAAAGCCCATATCCCTTCCTGATTATTGTCATAATACTTTCTACCCCCCTTCCCCCTTTTCACCTCAATGTTATAGTACAGGTAACACCACCTATTGTTTTATAGTTGTCAGGTTTCCAATCTGCATCTGTTCTTGGTGATGCTGGAGGGACATCGAAATTGCTTGTCTATTGGTCCAGTGGTGTAATCTAAGATCCACCCCCAGCGGCCTGTGGATCAGCACTGGACGCCACCATCATGATCAACACGAACGGCACAATGTACATCCACTGAAATGACAGAGACAGAAAATCACATTTAAATGATGGTATTATAGATAAATACTGAAACTTCATAGACGTTCATTTGCTTACTTGTATCATAGCTAAAAGACTGAAACTACAAATGCATTGGTTAGTATGCTTGCATAACAGCTTATACTGGAAACCCCCCCAACAAAATACAGAAACTACAAACCCATTGGTTAGTATACTTGTACTGATACTGAAATTACCAACACACAAATTACCAACACACAAGTTTACATTTGTGTTAGGATTGAATGGCATTTTTTCAATATTCATGCCAGTATGTTACCATGAAGCCCTAGTTCAAACCTTATATTTGCATCATACTTTTGAGTTACTATTGTCCTAAATACAGATATTTCTTTATACGACATTGAAGTGTCTCTGTTGTTAGTGCAAACGAGATTCCTGAAACAGCCTTAATATGTCACCAAAATGTTTGCTTCCAATGGTTGTCTCTTGTTATTGAAGGTGGGAGAAGCTTCAAAATGACACTGATCCAATTGCATTCAAAGCCCTATGAACACAATTTCTGATCGTAATGCTTACTTACAGAGGGACTTGCAGTGGAAATGTAAATATACTTGTATAATAGCTAAAACTGAAACTACAATTCAAACATATGGCTTTTAAACCAGCATCATAGCTAATACTGAAACAACAACACAAAGGTTGATATACTGGTTAGACAGATTTATAAACAGCCTTGTAGGTTATACAATGTACATGAAAATGTTTCAATGCCTCTAATGCTAAAAATGTATGTGGAGATAGAAACAGAAATCAGTGGAAGCAGATCTAGACTGTGTACGTGACATTAATGACCTCGTTACTGTTCTGAACATTGATTTTACTGAGCTATAAATAATCCCATTGTATCCCTCTATTTACTGAGGAGGAAAAACGATTGACTGTAATTAAGATAAACCAAGTTTTGGTCATTACAGTTAAACCCACTGGATCACGTCCGTTTACTACTGGTGAAGTTTGTTTGTTCTGCCCTCTTCTTCGAATCAAACCAGAATTCTACTAAAGAGTGAACAATTACTGTTGGGATGGAAAAAGATAAGGATGTTTTATTTTCTATAGTAGATTTCTATCAGACTTTACAATAACTATAGATGAGGGCTCACAATATTCTTGCACTTGCTGGATCAATGATATTATACTGTATACTGGACATTTTTGCCCAGTCAAATATTCACCCTTCACTGGTACAGTCCATTAACATCTCCTAGTGTAAATTTTGTCTGTCACATGTAATTACTATACAGGGTATTCTATGGACTGATATTAACTCTTATGAATAAAAATGCCCTCAGTGAAGAGGTAGAGAAAGGCAAAAGTTAAACTGTGGCAAAAATTATCTCAGTATAGGTACGTGTACTGTAATGTAACATTGACCTTTGACTCATCACAGCCATATTCTTGTTCAAGGTTGTTAATGGTTAACATACCTGTGAAGTTCCACTAAAATCAATCGAGAAGTACAGAAACTGCAGCTTAGTCAGGAGTGTGAAAGTGAGATTCTGTTTGTGCTAATATTGACCTTGACCTTTGATAGAAAACACCCATGTTTGTGTGAAATGAGATAAAGAAGAATATTATCATACAAGGGGCTTAGATTGTAAAACATAATCTCTTTGTTTGCAAAAAAACAAGGTTAACCTCTAATATCTAATAGTGCTCACTAAAACGTAATGCCTCTGCTCACGTAGCCAGGAATACCCCTTAGAATATGAATAATTAAATCATTCATCCCTGAAATTTCATAATGAACTATTCCATTCTTTGAATAGGAAGAATTCAAACGTGTCTTCAGGAGTGAATGAGTTAAATGTGCTTACCAGAGGACCTTGTTCTAAATTTAAGTAAATGTGATATGCAGAGATCAACAAATACATTTTAGTTGATAAGATAGAATTGATCAGTGGTTAGATCTAGTCGATGAAGTGACAGTTAAAAGTCGCTGATAAGTGCCACTGGCTTCCCCTAAACATGATGAACCAATCTCACAGCTAATTATGAAGGATTCTCTTTCAAGCACTAAATTGACATTCAGAGTATCTCTCCAGTCTTGGATGTCTCTCAGTATAAAAGGTGCCACTGTCCATATCCACGATATTGGCTATAACGCTGTTACACCCACTCAACTCAGCGATATTCTGCCATCTGTCCAGACTCAATGTACACCAATCAGCGCCTGGTGTGGATCCCCCGCAACTTATATATGAACTTCTTGTAGCTGTCAAATCTTCATTATCAAAACCTGAATGGAGAGTCTGCGACAATGGGTCTTCCATAATAGCAACTACATCAGTATGCCTGTACTGTACCCAGAATTTCTAATACAATAAGAAATGTCAGAATCCTTTCTCATACAAGAGGCCTATCAGGCCTGTATCATCTATACGTTTCATTACAACTAGACAAGAAGTTTCCTTTTGACCCAAATAATTCAAAACCTATTACCGGTACTTGGTATAGGAAATGACAGGAACATCAGAAAATGTTTTGGTAGAAATTATCTGAGGGAGTAAGAATTAGTCAAAAACAACTCAGGGGAAAGGATGGCTATTTTGGATTTGAAAAAAAAGAAAAGAAAAAAAGAGAAAAAAAATCAGCATCTAGTCAGGAACATAGGAGCATTCAGTTACCACCATTTGGTCAACATTCCATTCACCAATATTTAAGTACAGTATCTAAAATATTAAACTCTATTTCCCTTTCTGAACCCTATCCATCTGCCCCAAGAAGGATACAACATTCGTTAAATTTCCTACCCCTTAAATTTACATGGTCCAGAGACGGCCCATACCAAATTTAGTCAAAACCGGGCCCTTTTGCCATTCTAGATTAGAAGTCATTTGAAGGAAAAGATTTCAGATAAAATTGAGCACAGTTTGGCTTCCATTACCAGGTAGCCCAGTCAGTTAGAGCGATAGTATAACAATCTGAAGTCCAGAGTTTGAATCTTATCATAAAAGTCCAACAAGGTATGCTTTTCTTTTCAGAAATTATTGATCAAAGCTCTAGTCATGCTTGACAAAACAGTTTCTAATATGTGGTTACAGTTTTTGTCAGTGGTACGGGGATTCTTAAAATAGACAATCTATGCTTCACCACAGCATAAGGTCTCTGATGAGGTTTTATTGTAAGATATTTCCAGAAGATGGTCCTATCTCTGATTACTGGGTTAATGAACATGTAACATGCTTTCAAAGCCTATTTGGTTGTACTTATAATGTAATAATAGCAGTTGATGTCATTTACACCGTACACAAAACAAAAATGTTCTCGGAAGCAAATTCAATCATAGCTGCCAAAACCTATTACTACTTTGATTAATATTATGGGCACAAAAACCCATATAATAATACGACTCTGGTCTAGGCTATCATGTAGCTGATTGAAGATGCTGTGTGATGATGTCCTCAATATTTTGTTCTATGCAGGGCGTTTTGTTAACAGCTATCAGCAACCTGATTTGAATAATTCACTATGTTATTTAAGATGTCATTAGCTGGAATTCTACACTTCTCTCAGCAGCACAGTCTTAAGCTAGAACACTGACAGGTCAGCAAGGGCCCTCTGTGTACCGGACCATATATAGCTCCAATAAATACCAAGCATTAAGCCAGACCAATCATTTTGGATTTCAGAACATATGGGAATAAGTCAGAACATACACATGGAATCTGTTTTATTTACCAAAGAGTCAGAATGAAATCACAGCAATATTTATTATACTCTTATCAGAAAGTTCCCAATATGAAGTTTGAGACACAAATAGCTATCCACACACCTCTGATACTCTTTGCTGTGTGATGACTAACACCCAGTAGATAGTTTATCAAATCATCACCCCCTGCATGACCACCACTCTCTTTTCATATTTTTGCAAGAACAGTTTATCTGACTAAATTTGATTAGCTGTTGCGAGTGTCTGACAGCCAATCACGAGTAGTGTTATATATGTGGTCTGTACCAATGGAGATCACATCAGCCCCGTAAACAACAAATATGGCTAAAATGCTGTGGTTATGACAGCTTTCTGGACATTTCTGATAAGAATTTAGACAATTTATTATATATATTTTTTTTTTTATGAAAATGACTAACTTACAGTCGTACAACCTCGAGGGAACGGATCCTGCATACTTAAATTTATTTAATTATAATTATATAAATTGTTAATGGCATTAATTATGTTGTTCAGAATATTCTGTTCACGCTCAATATCCATACATTTTGCAATATTGTCATTCAATGATTGTCCCACAGCACGCAAATGTACATTTTTAAACGCACGTTTGAATGTCAAGTCAACGATAGGAAAACAGCCACTTAATAACGTCATCTTCTGAGAAAGAGAAGCAATGTTTTTCTTTTGACAATGTACCTCTGGATAAAATAGGAACTGTGTTCTGGGTTGAAGTGTCAATCTATATCAGAAAAGCGCGGGAATGTGTAGCATTTCTTTTACGCAAAGTCACGGTTGACAACAATACATAGCGCCATTTTGAATGGGTTTCACTGCAATTTTGGCGTTTGCTGCAATTATCTGGTGAGATTTCAAGACAAAAATGATATTAATAGTGGAGTTATGTAGAAACAATAATGTACGCTGCATAGGTGGAACACACAACCATTTATTCTGGCGTCACTTCATCTAAACTTGAAACTGAAAATCTACACAGAGAATAAATTAGTCTGCCTTACCTATGTCTACCTGACAGACAATGTGCTTCTAGTGAGGAGCTCTACTGTAAAGGAGCTTTACGAATGCTGCAGTAATATAATGTACATAATTGTGTACATATTACTAACGTTTATTACTCCCTCGACACACCATTAACCAGGTCGTATATCGCCTTGTCAGATCATCAAGGCGCCCAGGGAATGAAGAGCACACACCAGAGTTAAATGATAAGAATAATTGGCGATACCGACATGCCAACCCATCTCCATAGAACTGTCTT